TAATAAACACGCTCCAGCTGAAAACAAAACTTTTAAGTATAATTCAACTCGATAACTAGGTTCAAAAATATGCTAAACAGATCAAATATACTTTAGTTAAGTGAAATATTATTTTTTAATCTCAAACAAGTTTATAATTATTTCATACTATATTATTGAATAAAAAACCGCAAAATTAAAATACGTAAACTAAATATGTCTCTACATATACATATACATATGAAAAATTTTACAAAAAAAACATTGAACCCGCAGTGTAACGCGGGTCAAAATCTAGTATAGTACATACTATTAACATATCCTTTGATGGTTAGATTTTTCATGGAAAAAAAGAAATATCCTTTGATAATAAGTGCTTGAGACAGAGTTGAAACGCATATTAATTAATTTCTTATTGTGAATAAAATAAATTTTGACTAGAAATTGTAGTGTCTATTAAGTTTTCTTTGACCAAAAAATAAAAATCTACTAAAATATTATTTAGTTATATATCAAATAGAAATGGTCCCTTTCATAAAAAGAAACACATAAACCCATTCAAAATATTATACAAAAACACAGTTACTAAATAGATTTATTAAGAAGTTGACTAATAAATGGAAGATAAAATTAAGAATTAAAGAAATAAATATTTTCACTTAGTAAGATATTCTTTTACATAGAAAAAATAAATTTGGTATTTTGCCAGTTTAGCTTAATAATATTTCCCTTTTGAAGCTGCCATGCATCTCTAAGACTGGCCCACCCATTTCCGATAAAATAACCTCTTGCATCTTGTCCCATGTTAACCCAATATGATTTGTTACCGTCCACAATTTCTACTTGAATACCGTTTCAATGAATTGGAACTCCCGTGCTTTTTGTTATGTTCTCAACATTTTTTTTGGCAAACGCAAACGATTATTACTACAAAGATCGTTGTCTGTTAGTGTTTTTTATATCTTCAAATCCTGATTCATTTTACTAAACTGTTAAGTGTCTTAGAAGTATATCTAAGATGTTTTGAAAAATGAAATATTTTTGTAAATTTTGAAGAGTTCATCCCATTTATATATATAGGCCAAAATCAAGTTGCTTAGCTTTTAAGTTTTGTTTGAACAGTTTTAATTTTATTTTAAAAAAATCTCTAAATTTAGTAAATGTTATTAATTTTCACAATCTACAACTTTAAAGTTGTATTCATATATACTAGTTATATATGCTAAATTGTATTTATAATAAACTTATTTTGTTTTGCTTTAAGAGAAAAAGTTTGACAAAACTAAATCAATTATAATATCTAAGTAACATAAGTTATATTAAGATTCTCTTTTTCTGAAACTCTCTAAAAGTTGTGCAATATATCGTTGACATCTAACATTTCTTTACGTTTTACAATAATAACTCCAATAACTTTTGACACTACTCTTTTTGAATTTTAAAATTGCTATATCTTTTTATAGGAAATTTGCAAATACAACAAACAAAAAAATAATTAAGAAACTAGCAAAAATAAAACAAATCCACCTGACGTTGAATGATTGTAGATTTTGAAGTTTTTTTGGTTTTGAATGTTTCCAAAGATATACAATCAAAGCATGCATGGAGCTATAGAGTCCACATGGGGGTAAATTGACCTTTATGATTTTACAAAATTGTTATTTTTACTTGTAGTTTCATAAGCAAAATTCATTGAAATGGTTGAAAAATTGCTTATTGATGTAACACCCGTGTTCAGAAATTGGGTGTCGATCGACACCAAGGAAGGGTGTCGATCGACACCAACATTTTTTTGGTTCAGACCGGTTCAATTTAATTGTTGAATTAATTTGGCTGGTTTGGGTTAACCTAGGGATCGAGGTTTTAAAGGAAAAACTCGACATCAGTGTTTGTTTAGCCGCTTACTGACTTCCAGAGAATGAAAGAAAAGGTTTCAAAGTTCCTTGAGTTTTTGTTGGTTTTTGGAGAGATTTTGGGTTGTTCTGGAGAGTTGAGGCCAAGGGAAGGGAGATCTTGTAGCAGTAGTGTTAGGAGTGCTATGTACCGTCTTTGATTGGGTATTTTTCTTCATTGTTCATCCATTGCAAAAGGTGAGTGTGTGTCTATGGTTGATCAGAACATGTTAAACCCTTCCAATGTGTATTTGATTGATTTGGATGGCTGGAAATTGTTTTGTGTAGCTTGTTTGTGTGTTTTGGTTACTATATGTTTGGATGATTGGGTGTTAGCATTCATGGCTGGAGATTTGGAGGTGGTGAATTAGTTCTCTGGAGAGTTGAGAGGCGATTTCTTGGGTTCTGCGGAGTCAATGTTGCTCGACACCAACCTGGTGTCTGTACCGGTCGACACCAGTTTCTGGACAGTTTTCTGGACAACAATTTCTGTACAGCGAGTTGTTGGTGACTTTTTCTGGACAACAATTTTTGTACAGCGAGTTGTCACTCCATAATCGCTATTTGAGGAAGTACGATTATATACCGACTACAATGTGTAGTCGCTAATTGGCAGTCGCTAAACACTATAGTCGTAAAATAGTCGCCATTATTTACAACAGTCGCTAGATAGTAGCAACCATCATATAATGGATTTTTGGCACATGCTAACAAGTCGTAAATTTCTTGGAATGGTTACGCACAGGTTCTTCTTCGACATTCTGATAACTATCATCCGGATGATAGTTAATATTGAAATTTACGTTATCACGAAATGCATCATTCACCATATTCACATATGGATCTTCTACTACATTACCCACTTTTTCATAACTCCCACCAATATATGTTCTATCATTATAATTACTCGTTCCTAAATCCATATTGATATCTTCTCCATGCTTATACCAAACATAATAATCTGGCAAAATATGACTCACAACTCTTCTACCCGATATAAATTTTTCGTTCTTGAAAGAAATACGAGGGCAATAAAACTTACCGCCATTATTTTGTACGATAGGTTGACTATTTGCATATGTCATGAATTGCTCTACCCCCACTTCAAACTCTGCTAAAAAATTTACCGTCACTTCATCAAACCTCTTGTACATCCACTCCTGGAAATTACCGCCATTACCACCATAATTGTAATTTCCCGCCATTACCAAAAAAAATATATATCCTCCCAAACGTTTTTTCTTTTCAAACGTTTTTTTCTCTCTCAAGCGTTTTTTTCTTAATGATTGTTGTTTAGATTCGCAACGTAGTCACTAGATAGTAGCAACCATCATATAATGGATTTCTTTCACCTTCTAACATTTCGTAGAATTTCTTGAAATGGTTACGCACAGGTTCTTCTTTGACATTATGATTACTATCATCTGGATGATAGTTATCATTGAAATTTACGTTATCATGAAATGCATCATTCACCATATTCACATATGGATCTTCTACTACATTACCCACTTTTTTATAACTCCCACTTATATATGTCCTATCATTATAATTACTCATTCATCCATATTGATATCTTCTACATACTTATACCAAACATAATAATCTGGCATAAACCCTTTACTAAAAATATGACTCACAACTCTTCTACCCGAGATGAAAATTTTCGTTCTTGCAAGAACTACAAGGGCAATAAAACTTTCCGCCCTTATTTTGTACAATAGGCTGAATATTTGTATATGTCATGAATTGCTCTATCCCAGCTTCAAACTCTGCTGAAAAATTTCCTGTCACTTCATCAAACCTCTTGTACATCCACTCCCAAAAATTAATGCCATCACCACCATAGTTGTAATTTTCCGCCATTACCAAAAAAAAATATATATCCTCCCATACGTTTTTTCTCTATCAAACGTTTTTTCTCTCTCAAGTGTTTTTTCTTAGTGATTGTTGTTTAGATGAGTGTGGAGAAGCAATGGCCGAGTGGTGCTTATATAGACTTTTGAACGACTAAAAAGCGACAAATAACGACTACACGACATAGTCACCTAAGTTAGGTACACCTTGTAACAACCCGCCCTGTGGGATCCTCCGCCATGTGGCACACTCCGCCACATGGCATCCTTACAGCGATGCAGCGCATCGTCCCTAACCTCTCTACAATTTGCCCAATCTGCGCAACCCTCTGGCCCACAGCTCTCTGGCCCACCAGGTAGGTTATTGGTGCGCTTGGCGTTACTCGAACACAAAACCTCACCCTTGAACAACCTTCCCACGGGACAAGCTGTTACCAATTGAAGTAACAACCTGCCCCGTGGACCCCACGCCACAACCTGGCAACAGCTGCGCTGCAGCGCATCGACCCTAACCTCTCTCCTGGCCCACAGGCCTTCCTTGGCCTAGGAGAGAGGTTAGGGTCCATGCACTGCAGCGCCAGCTGTTGCCGGGTTATGGCGTGGGGTCCACGGGGCAGGTTGTTACACACCTAACACGAACGGAAAAAAAAAGTTTAAATGCACTATAAACGACTGCCTAACGACTACAGAACGACTAATTTACACCAGCCAAATTAGTCGGCATATAGTCGTTATATATACGACCCGCCGATTGAGTAGTAAAATAGTCGCTAAATAACAACTATGTGCCGACTAGAACACGACAAACAAAAGTAGTCGCTGAATAGTCGTAGAAACAACGACTATAACATTTAATTGCAAAATGGTCGCAAATTACCGACTATTCAACGACTAAATACTGACATACAGAAGGTAGTCGCCCTTTAGTCGCTAATTGACAACTATTTTACGACTATGCCTTTGAGTCGCTATTTGCCGACTGTCAAACGACTACGAATAATTTTTGAAATTCCCGATTAAATCAATCGTATATAGTACATATTAACATATCCTTTAATGGTTAGAGTTGTTCATGAAAAAAGAGAAATATCATTTGATGATAAGTGCTCTAGATAGAGTAGAAACGCATATTAATTAATTTTCTTATTGTGAACAAATTTCGTTTTGACTAGAAATTGTAGTGTCTATTAAGTTTTTGTTGCCAAAAAATAAAAATCTATGTTATATACCGAATTGAAATGGTCCCTTTTATAAAAAGAAACACATAAACCCATTCAAAATATTATAAAATTATACAGTTAATAAATATATTTATTAAGAAGATGACTAATAAATGCAAGCTAAATTTAAGAATTAAAGAAATAAATATTTTTACTTAGTAAGATATTCTTTTACATTGAAAAGATAAATTTCGTTTTTTGCCAATATAGTTTGATGATATTTCCCTTTTGAAGCTGCCTTGCATCTCTAAGACTTTGCCACCCATTTCCGATAAAATAACCTACTACATCTTGTCCCAAGTTAACCCAATATGATTTGTTACCGTCCACAATTTCTACTTGAATACCGTTTCGAGGAACTGGAACTCCGGTGCTTTTTATTATGTTCTCAACCTTTTTTTTTGGCAAACGCAAACGACTATTACTAGAAAGATCGCTGTCTGTTAGTGTTTTTTCTATCATCAAATCCTGATTCATTTTACTAAAATTTGAAGTGTCTTAGAAATATATCTAAGAATGTTTTGAAAAATGAAATATTTTTGTGGAGTTTGAAGAGTTCAACCCATTTCTATATATAGGCCAAACTTAAGTTCCTTAGCTTTTATGTTTTTTGAACAGTTTTAATTTTATTAAAAACAAATCTCTAAATTTAGTAAATGTTATTAATTTTCACAATCTACAAATTTATAGGCGTATTCATATATATTAATTATATATTCTAAATTGTATTTATAATAAACTTATTTTTTTTGCTTTAAGAGAAAAAAGTCTTCCAAAACTAAATCAATTATAATATCTAAGTAACATAAGTTATATTAAGATTCTTTTTTTCTGAAACTCTCTAAAAGTTGTGCATTATATCTTTGACATCTAAGATTTCTTTACGTTTTAGAATAATAACTCCAATAAATTTTGACACTACTATTTTTGAATTTTAAAATTGCTATATCTTTTTATAGCAAATTTTCAAATACAACAAATAAAAAAATAATTAAGAAACTAGCCTAAACAAAACAAAGCTGTAACACCTGCATTCGCACCAGAGGATGGACCTTCAATGGCGAGAGAACGATCTGAGGTCAGATCTTAATCTAACACGAAAATTGAGGCAGCAACAGAGACTAGATTTTTAGAGGGAGATAACAGTGGCAACACAGTGGCAACACATGCGAAGCGAGAGCTTCCACCACCATCACTGGAGCGGCCGATTTGCTCTCAACGATTGAGTTCTTCACAGAGAGCATTTACTAGCCACAACACCAGCGGCGCGAGTGGCGATACGAGCAAAACGAGAGTAACCAGGATTGGCCCCACGAAGAGGCTTCCAACTTTTTGATTTCGCCATGGAGAAAGAGAAAAAACTACGACCACCGCTGTGAGGCTGACGTCGGTGAGAGGGAAAGAGAGGTTTGTGAGAACTCTATAGTTAACCGTGCTTATGCTGGATTAGCTCAGGAATGGGTGACATTTCGGGAAGTGATTGTCGGAACTCTATTAGTGAGACCAGAACACATGGAAATATCATGTGGTGATTTATAGTGTCGGTAAACAAGTTCTTAAAACCTCTCGGATGTAGCAAACCAGCCGTCAGATATGGATGAACTTATGTACCTAGTGAAAGAATGTGAGACCCATTAAAAGAGGTGGACCCATGTACTAAGGGTTCACTGGAAAAATTATTGGTTGGGGTGTTACACTTTTTTCTTCTCTTCGCGGAGACTAATGTGTTGTGCCGCAGTTCTGCGTTTGGATCTCTCCCTTATCACCAATAAATGTCTAAACACCCCATAAATGTATCATTTCCTTTACCTTTGGTGTTACTCTCTTAATTTTGATTTTTACGGTTCTGTACATTTCGTAGCAATGACAACAAAATATTATTGAATAATTATCTTCACCAAACTAAACATAGCTGTCATTAACTTTCGTGAGTAAAATTTCTAGAAAGAGTTTGCAATGGGAATATGTTGAGACTAATGTATTTTGGGTTAATGATCTTAAAAAGGCAGTAAACTACACTATTATTAATCAATGGAGATAAAACTATCCTTATGCTCATTCACGATTTGGAATAAAACTTGTTGAAGGGATTGCTTAAGCAGTTTCAGAATGATAACATCAGTATTTGAACGACCAAACCATCAAGTCACCCGACAGTTATACCCGATTACCAAGTGCTAATAGCTCAATTGGTAAAACTTTCTGGCAAAAGCTTAGAGGTCGCCGGTTCGAGTATCGCTTGAGACGAGACCATATAACATGTTCTGGTCTCGAGACTGAAGGGATGTATCTTAGTCCCAGAACCTCATTGAAAAATTTATACCCGATTGAATGCATCCAAAGTGAATCAAGTCGCGATCAGACCGACATGGCCGTACATGTTTCAAATATCTTACGTTTGCAATACATTAAACGGGCCGGGGATCCAAGACTATTTTGGTAACATGAATGTGTGGTTGTAATATTTTAGAACAATCAAAGGAAATAGTAAATGGTATTTTAAGGACGAGTCATTCTTAAACTTGTATAGTTAGCAGTTTAATAATATAAAGGTTAGAGCATCATTATTAATGGATTGTTAAATTCTGTTCTTAAAAAAAAATTGTTAGTAAAATTAAAAAGTCAAGACTTAAGAGCCACATTTTTAGCTCTTAATTAAAAGCTGATTCTTAGCATAGAATCACCATTTATCCTTTAAATTAAATCAAAAATTATCTAATACTAAGCTAAGAATCAGCTAAAACCCCATTAATAAGGATGATGTAATGGATATTGAATCATTTATTGTCTACTTGAAAGAGTTGAAACTAAAATCAATACGACAATGACTAGAGTACGTGGACCAAGTCTTCAATGTGAGTTGGACTATAGATTTAGTTGAATCTTCTTCTTCTTCTTATATCCATTTGCCTCAGTTTCTTGAGTGATACAAGTAATATGTATATCTTTCATGTTCCTCTTATGACTAATACACGATATAATCCACCATGTACTATGTAGCTAGTGTTAGTATGCATGGGTATATTTATAAGACTATATACACAAATAACTATGTATGGCTCGTGTATATCACATTTTAGATCATCACAACTATATATAATTACATATAATAGTTAGTTTGGTAATGGAGAGGAGAAGAGTGTTTGGTGGACATTAAGAGTAGAGATAGACTAGGGATCGGAGATCTCAAACAAGAATGAGCAAGAAGAGAAGATATACTCTATCAATCGTGTAGCACATCTACAATTATGGTAAAACATGTTTGGTAAAAAGACCTATAAAATAATTACATAATTAGGTCTAAAAATGATTACTTAATTAGTTCTAAAAACGCGTTACAAAAGTGACTGATCAATGATAATATGATGCATTACAAATTCATCGTAGAGATGATTACAAATTTACAATTTAGGATTTAAACATTATTAATTTAGTTCACGTAAATCTTTGTTACTATACAATCATTTAAAAGTCTATATACGTTAGTCAATCAAACTATAGTCAAAGTCTCGTATTATATTTTCTTCGAAAGACAAATCTTAATAACTATAGCTAGTGGAAATAATTATGTACCCAAATGGTTTCACACATTATTTTCCACAAAATTAATTATTAGTGAAATAGACTCCTAGATTTAGTAACAAATTATATGTTTATTTGATATATTTTTCCGTTTAAAAATATTATGTTGACACATTTCACACAAATAAATGAGAAAGTTTTTGAAATATATATGTTACCCCTGCTTAACAAACGGTTACTTAATTAAATTCAATGAATATAAAATTTGAAGAAAAAGTAAATAAAAAAACTTAGTGTTAAAAACTAAGAAAAAATTCTAGAATAATATATTTTGTGAATTAGAAAAAGTAAAATTTAAATACTCTTTGATGGTAAGTGCCTGAAATAAAGTGGAAATGCATATTAGTTTTATTTCTTATTTTGAACAATTGTTTCCCCCAAAATGTTATACTTCCTCCGTTTTTAATTAGTTGTCATCATTATAGTTAAACTTTTGTTAAAATATGAATGTGTGATTGTAAAACTTAAGGGAAAAAGAAATCAGAGGGAAGGGTCAGTCATAAACTTGTCTATCTAGCAATTTAAGATTTTAACAAGACTAATGCATATTGAATCATTTATTGTCTTAACTTCAGTAAGACAATTACCAGAGTGAGTACGTCGACCAAGTCTTCTTATATTTTTCATTGAACTTGTATTCCTGCTATAAGTATATAAGTAATTAAAAATACCAGTGTTTAAGAAAGCGTTAGGCGGTTACTTAACGGTAACGTCTAAAACGTTTAATTGGGGTTTAGGAGATTTTAGACGATTTAGTCGTTTACAACCCAAAGCATTATTTATTTAATTTCTATCAACAATATTTGAACATTTATAATTATATATGGATGTAAAACTTAAGATACTAAATATATTTAGTTAAAAATTATAAAAATAGAACCTATATAATTTTAAGCGGTTTAGGCATTCGTCTAAACATCTACTGAGTGCATAGTATCTAGACAAGAGCTAGACGACCGCCTAGATCACTTTTTAGAACACTACAAAATACTAATATTTCTATTTTTCTTTACAAAATATTATCCACCATGTACTTTGTAGCTATTTTTCTTATGGTTTAGATCATCACAAAATCACAACTAATTATATATAACTACATTTAATATATAGTTTGGTAATGGAGAGGACAAGATTACGTGTTTGGCGACATTACGAGATGGGTTTAATTAGAACCCCCTCAAACAAGAATGAACAAGAAGAGTAGACAGACTCTTTCAATCGTGTAGCACAGCTACAATTATGGTAAAACATATTTGGTAAAAACCTAAAAATAATTACGTTAGGTCTAAACCTTTTTTAATGTCTTTTTCTATAATTTTTTGTCGAAAAAAATGATTACTTAATTAGCACCAAAAACGCGTTACAAAAGTGACTTGATCAATGGATGCATTACAGATTCATCGTCGAGATGATTACAAATTTAGGGTTTAAGTTCACGTAAATTTTAGTTACTAATTTACTATACACAATCATGCAAAAGTCCATATACGTAAGTCAATTAAATTAGTCAAAGTCTCCTATTGCATTTTGTTTTTTCGAGTTTCAAATTTTATCTGAAGAAATATTTCTAGTTTCGTTTGACTTCTCTATACCCAAAACGAATTGGTTTCACACATTAATTTTTTTTCCACAATAATTATTAGTGAAATAGACTCATCCTAGATTTAATAACGAATTATATGTTTATTTGATAACTATTTAAATACTACTTGGCCAAAGAAAACAGTATATATAGTAACAATTCAACACAGACATTTGAAAAAAAAAAAAAAAAAAAAACAATAAGAAAGATCCAAGGAGGAGATAACATTGGAAGACTAGCCATTTTAGTTTTGTGCAAGACTTTTAAAAGTCAACTCTTTTTGTCGCAGGTCTCCTTCACAATATTTTACAATTTGGATCTATTAATTATTATTTTGGATCTATCGTCGTTTTTTCCAACCACTATGGCTTAACTAGTAAAAAAAATTAATATAGCCACTTAAATGTTTGTGGCTGACCCTTCAAATTCTTAGCTATTAGTCAATTTAGTTACGAGTGTTCACGAAAATTAATTGTAGCTATAGTTTTGTAGTTTATTTGCATTCGTGGTTCGTCTTGACTATATAGTCACGAATTTGTCACTCGCATTACGTGGCAAAAATTAGTCACGTATTAACCACTTAGTATTAGTGGCTTTTGTTTACCACGAATTCGCCATTCTATATTCGTGATAATCGTAAGCCACAAAATAAAATAGTAGCATTACTGTTACATGTCAATTTAGCTACGAATTTGAATAGTATCATTACCATGACATGTTGAATAAGCTACGTTTACTAAACGCAGTTAAGTCGTGGTATTTGGAGCCACTACCGTTTTGAAGAAATCGTTGCTATATTGGTTGTTTCTAATTACGAATTTGACAACTAAAATTCGTGGCTAATAATATATTTAGCAAAAATATATATTTTTAAATCTAAATAAATATTAGAATTAAAACATGAATTTGAAAACTAGAATAAACAATTTTCAAATTAAATCCTAATATTAGATTAGCAAATTAAGATACGTAGTTTACAATATTACCAAAAAGTTTCAAAAGGCCTAAAAGATACTACTTATAATCCTAGTGAAGAACACCTATCTTGATAAGAACTACGAGCAGGGACCGAACTGGGAACAGTAGTAGGTTGAGTACTGTTTTTGCATCACACTGCTTTCCATATTTACAACGTGCACAAGGACACAAAATAGTGTTGGTCTCTTCGAAAGAAAGTTGATTACAAGCAAACTAAATAGAAACCCTCTCAGAAAAGATCTCTGAAACACAATTTATTACTGGATCAACACGTTGATCCATCCACTTTCCATATTGAAAATAATAAGACATCTAAGAGATGATATTCGAAACAAAGAAAGGAGAAAGATGATATATATATTTTTACTTATGTTATTGGTTTGAGTGATGGAGAATGAATCTCATTTGCTGCTTTTATAGAAAATTTAGCCATGTAACTGCGACGGCAAAAATCGTGGCTAATATTTGAATCATTGCCGATAGTGCTCGGTCGCCAACTTGGCTGAGGTTACTGAAGGGGATAAGATTTCGACAGTCCATAACATGATGTCATGATGTTTAAATCGGTGGAACAGCTACAATACAACCATGTTTGAATATCATGGCTATTATATAGCCACGGTTAGACCACGTATGTTATTCATCGCCAAATACAGCTACTCTTTGTCTACGTTGTAAATCCATAGCTAGATTTAGCCACTAACACTTTAGAAATTTGTAACAACATTTAAGCCATGAAAAATTCACGTAGTAAATCCATAGCTAGAGTTAGCCACGGATTAACCACTTTCTATATTCGTGACTACAATTAAACCACAATAAATTCACGTTTATTTTTATGTGGCTATTGTGATTTTAGCCACGAGATGGCGTGGCAAAAACGTAGTTGTACGTTTTTTTTACTAGTATATATCCTCTGCTAATCAGAATCCTCTGTTCCTCTCTGGACTAAATCCATGGATTATCACCATTGTTCTCCTTCAAATCCGTCTATGTCATTTTCACACCAAGTTTTTTTCTCCGAAATATAAGACCACTCCGCGGCCAACACTGATTTGATGGAATCAGTGGATTTAATTTATTTCGCTTTGCATGAAGAAATCTAAACCCTAAACGATACTTTCTAGTGAACCCAAAGGTTCTAATCACAAATATTAATCAAATCAAAAAATTTCAATTTTATCTTCTAAGTAACCATCTTGTTCATGCGATCTAATCGTTTTTATTAGATATCTCATCGTTGTCAATTCGTCGCCACCATCTCGTTCATCAGATCTGATCTTTACCAACATTCACAAACCATGAGTTTTTTTTTCTTCTGTCGACAAAACAAAGTCACGAACCAAAATTGTTCTATAATTTTGTAAAAAAGTCACCACAGCTGAATATAAATGCTTAATTCTGTAAGCATGGACAAATAAGTCCTAATCCTACAATTCTCAGCAAAAATAATTGAAATATAAAATAATTTACAATTGATTCAAAGATAAAGTGATAAAAAGCTTAAGAAAAGGCTTGCATTTTTTTTTTTTTTTTTTTTGAAAAGGATTGCATTGAAATTACAGAAAAAGACTAATACTTTACTAAATATTTTCCTAGTTTTTTTTTTTTTTTTTGGGTCGACAAATATTTTCCTAGTTAACATTTGAGAGGACAGGCTTTTTTTGCAAGACTTTCAAAAATCAACTCTTTTTAGTCGTAGATCTCTTTCACAATATTTTTAAATTTTCTGTTGTTTTCACCAATTATTTTTGTCTAACAAATATAAAACAATTTTTTTAATCTATGTTGGTTAAATTAAATAGCTAGAGTTAACATTGAGTCTATGTTTCATAAACTTCAACAATTGAAGCTTTATTGGTAACAATGCACAATCGTATAATAACATAAGTTGTAAAATAAAAAAAATTCTTAAAATAAAATTACTGCAAATAATATATTGATTGAATATATACTTTATAAAACAACGAAATATAATACTATATTACAAATCTAAGCCTAAAGCTTCTTATTCATATACAATTTATTAAAAATAATCCAAGTAACTCACCCATAGATTTCATTTATAAAGATAAACTGATAAAGTTAGCTCTTATTAAGCAAAGGTTTACACTGAAAACAATTAAAGGGACTATTACTTTTACAAAGTAGTTCCCATTACTAAATCAACAAGATTAGTGAAGAAGAAAAAAATTATCATTCACATAAGCATGACTAACTATTTTTTAATTTTTAATAACGTTGACCATCGTTGTCAATCCATATAATTCACCAACCCATGCCTTCACAATCTTCCAAATTACTGTTTAATTAAACACAACATTCAAAGAATTTGACCAATTATACTCTAATCATTTTTACATAAACAGAAAAAAACAATAGCTTAAAAAGCCAGTAATATGCTTTTTAATTATATAAATGTGAAAATGATATTTGACGAAGTAAACGACCAATAATTAAAAGATGAGAATTCATATATTTGACTTCTTTGTCCTCTATTGTCAAGTGACAACCCACGATAGTCACGATCACGGACTAGTCAACGAAATCGGAATTTGCAAATTTTATATAAATGACTATATAAACGAACGAACACACAAACCCAGAAAGAGATAAAACAAAACAAAACAAAACAAACTCATCTCATTCCAAGAGATAAGAGAAATGGCTTGTAAAGAAAAGCCTCAAATTCTTGTAATCATCATATTAGTTTTGAGCTCTTCTCTTTTAGCTTCAGCGACAGTTGAAGAAGCAAATGCTCTTTTAAGATGGAAGTCAACTTTCAAAAACCAGACAAGTTCATCAAAGCTGTCTTCTTGGGTCAATCCAAACTCGAGTAGGGTTTGTAACAGTTGGTATGGTGTTTCTTGCAACATAGGTGGTAGCATCATACGTTTGAATCTTACGGGTTCGGATATCGAAGGTACTTTCGAAGATTTCCCATTCTCGTCTCTTCCAAACCTCACTTATGTTGATCTCAGTATGAACAGTTTCTCTGGTACTATCTCTCCTCTATGGGGGAAGTTCTCGAAGCTCGTCTACTTCGATTTGTCGATTAATCAGTTAGTCGGTGAGATCCCGCCTGAGCTTGGTGATTTGAGTAACTTAGATACTCTTCATCTTGTTGAGAATAAGTTAAACGGGTCGATTCCTTCTGAGCTCGGTAGGTTAACTAAGGTTACAGAGATAGCTATGTATGACAATCTTTTCACCGGACCGATACCTTCTTCTTTTGGAAACCTTACTAAATTAGTTAACCTTTACCTCTTTATCAATTCTCTTACTGGTCCAATTCCTCCTGAAATAGGAAACTTACCCAACCTTAAAGAGTTATGTCTAGATAGAAACAACCTTACCGGTAAAATCCCTTCCACTTTTGGAAACTTGAAGAATGTAACTCTTCTCAACATGTTTGAAAATAAGCTCTCTGGTGAAATCCCTCCTGAGATTGGTAATATGACCGCTTTAGATACCCTTAGTCTCCACACAAATCAGCTTACCGGTTCTATTCCTTCAACCTTAGGAAATCTCAAAAACCTAGCCATTCTTCATCTTTACCTTAACAAGCTTACTGGTTCGATTCCGCCAGAACTAGGCAACATGGAGAAAATGATTGATTTGGAGATAAGTGAGAACCAACTCACTGGTCCTGTTCCTGATTCATTTGGCAAGTTAACTGTTCTGGAATGGTTATTTCTTCGTGATAACCAGCTTTCTGGTCCGATCCCACCGGGAATTGCTAACTCTTCAGAGCTCACTGTCCTGCAACTCGACACCAACAACTTCACCGGTTCCTTGCCTGATACCATCTGTAGAGGTGGCAAGCTTGAGAATCTCACGCTAGATGATAATCACTTTGAAGGTCTTGTTCCTAAGAGCTTGAGAGATTGCAAGAGCTTGATCAGAGTGAGATTCAAAGGGAACAGTTTCTCAGGAGATCTCTCTGAGTCTTTCGGAGTTTACCCAACTCTCAACTTCATTGATATCAGCAACAACAAGTTTCATGGTCAACTTTCACCCAAGTGGGAACAAAGTAAGAAGCTGGTTGCATTCATCCTCTCAAACAACAGCATCACTGGAGCCATACCACCTGAGATTTGGAATATGACACAGCTAAGTCAGCTCGATCTATCTTTCAACCGCATCACCGGCCAGCTCCCAGAATCAATCAGCAAAATCAACCGTATATCAAAACTCCAACTAAACGGGAATCAGCTATCTGGAAGAATACCTTCAGGAATCAGACTCTTATCCAATCTTGAGTATCTTGATCTATCCTCAAACAGATTCGGGTTCGAAATCCCCGCAACAATCAACTCCTTGCCAAGGCTCTATTACATGAACCTGAGCAGAAACGAGTTGGATCACACCATCCCGGAGGCTTTAACAAAGCTGTCTCAGTTACAAACTCTCGATCTCAGCTACAATCAGCTCGATGGAGAGATCTCATCACAATTCAGCTCCTTACTCAACCTCGAAAGCCTCGACCTCTCACACAACAATCTCTCAGGTGAAATCCCAGCAAGTTTCAAAGCTATGCAAGCACTAACACACATCGATGTATCATTCAACAACCTCTCAGGTCCAATTCCAGATAACAAAGCCTTCCAAAACGCAACTCCAAACTCACTTGAAGGTAACAAAGACTTATGTGGTGATAACAAAGCCTTGAAGCCATGTGCAACCACAGGGAAGAAGAAATCAAACAAAGATCGAAACCTAATCATCTACATACTAGTTCCAATCATCGGAGCAATCATAATCCTCGGCGTCTGCGCCGGAATCTTCATCTGTTTCCGTAAACGATCCAAACAAATCGAAGAACACACAGATTCAGAATCAGGTGGCGAAACCTTATCAATCTTCAGCTTCGACGGAAAAGTCCGATACCAAGAGATCATCAAAGCAACAGGCGAATTCGATCCAAAATACCTAATCGGAACCGGAGGACACGGCAAAGTCTACAAAGCAAAGCTCCCAAACGCAATCATGGCGGTGAAAAAGCTAAACGAAACAACAGACTCATCAATCTCAAATCCATCGGTAAAACAAGACTTCCTAAACGAAATCAGAGCACTAACCGAGATCCGTCACCGGAACGTCGTGAAACTCTACGGATTCTGCTCGCACCGCCACAACACGTTCCTGGTTTACGAGTACATGGAGAGAGGAAGCTTAAGGAAGGTTCTGGAGAGCGATGACGAAGCGAAGAAGCTAGATTGGGTGAAGAGGATCAATGTTGTGAAAGGTGTGGCTCATGCGTTGTCGTATATGCATCATGATCGGTCTCCGGCGATTGTTCACCGTGATATTACTAGTGGAAACATACTTATCGGTGAGGATTACGAAGCGAAGATCTCTGATTTTGGTACGGCGAAGCTTCTTAAGCCGGATTCTTCGAATTGGTCCGCCGTTGCTGGTACCTACGGCTACGTTGCTCCAGGTACATTTTTTGACCCGTTAATTTTATTGGATCACGATTTGACCCGGATTGGGTCGGGTCGTGTCGAAACTAATAGTCGGTTTAGAGTGAATTGGAATTTTTGGTTTATTCGGTTTTCGACAATGTTTTAACCAAATTAAAATGTTAGAAAACCAAATTAAAATGTTAGCAAAAACCAAATTGATTTTTTTTTGGTCTGATAAAATTACGCTTATGAGTTGGATTTGGTTTAGGTGTAAACAAAAAAAAAATCAAATTAAGAAAACAGTTAGAAAAACATAAAATATTACAAAAAATAATAATTTAATTTAATTAGATTCTGCTTTTCTATATTAAAAATTTACAAAATCGAATTAGATTTTACATCAGACCATATAATTTTGTACCATAACATTTATAAATTCCAGTTACAATATCAATTTTACTCCGGTTTCTTTTTTTCAAATAAGAAATTGGTTTGGTTTTATTTGAGTTGGGTTAAAAACCCCATTCTTAAAAATATGTTTTTAAATTTAGTATATACAAAAAACGTATATTTTAATTATAGTGTCTAACATGTTTTATGAATTTTATGAAATTGGAAATTTTGTGGTTTGGTTTGTTTAGGTTTTATAAAATTCTTAGACTAATATACAGAGATTAGATTTTCGTTTTATTTTGGTTTGGTTCAGCTTTTAAATACATGAAAAATTTACAAAAATATAAATTAATTAGATTTAACATTACACCATATAAATTTTGTATCATAAATCATTTATTTTTGTTGCGAAACTTTAGTTTCTTTATATCATATAAATAATTTGATTTCGTTTGGTTTAATTTGAGTTTGTTTAAATGCCCTATTCCTTAAAATCTTATTTTTTAACATGTTTTATGAATTGGATGTGACAGAACTAGCATACGCAATGAGAGTAACCGAGAAATGCGATGTGTATAGCTTTGGGGTTCTAACACTAGAAGTGATCAAAGGAGAGCATCCAGGAGATCTAGTTTCAACTCTATCATCATCTCCGCCGGACACGACTTTATCGGTGAAACAAATCGCCGACAACCGGCTACCGGATCCGGCAGGAGAGATCAAAGATGAGATCTTAGAGATTTTGAAAATTGCACTTTTGTGCTTACACACTGATCCACAGTCTCGTCCAACAATGCTCTCTATTTCCACTGCCTTTGCTTAGAAGAACTTGTCCCTTCGTCTCTAACCTTTTTTTAATTTACCAAATATATAGTTTTTATATATACGTTATTTAATTGTGTTTTTCCATGATTATGTGTCAATATATTTTGTTTTATGGAATGGTTAGTTTTTTTATGTGATTACTTCTCTCTTTTGTTATGGATGAGTTATTGTAACATTCTGATTAGTGTCATGTCGTTATTCTTGTTTATGTGTTCGAAATAGTGAGTTGTATTTGAATTTGTTAATAAGTCTTAGGGTGGGTATTTGAACTATACAAACCAACCTAATCCAAGCCAACGATGATTCATGCACAAACCATTCGATTAAGAATATTTGGTTTCTAACAGTTTGATTCAGTTTTAAATTAGACCAAACCAATAATCCAATATGATTAATTTCACTATTGATTTTAGCACCCAATAACCCTAGACATACAAGTTTTATAATTGTCAATATCACAAGGATTCTTAAAATTTTGAACCGAACCGAATCAAATTCAAACTAATTTTGAATTGAGTTTAGGTAAGAGTTTTAGGTTCGAATGGTTATAACACTTAGAGTGAAAAATCCGTCATTGGTTAAGTCCACTCTATTTTCAAGGCAGACAATAAATTGTCATGGACCAACTATATTCGTACCTAATTGGTCTGCGACGGTTTTTATTTTTGTTTCCTTTTGGGTATGGTGTTAATTTATGAATGGTAAAAGACGGTTTTATCTACAAACGGATTTATCCGCTTCAACCGCCACAAAAACGATTAGATTCTTATTAAAACTAAACATAAGGGAAAAACTCATCAAGAATTCAAAAGAAAGGCCCAAAAATAAAGCCCATTAAAGAGCCCAAACTACATACACTCGTGGGAATCAGCACGCAGACGCTCACGTGCTTTGCCTAAGGTAGAACTATGTTGTTTCTCTGCATTTCATAGCATTGTTTTGACATATAAGGAAACTTAGGGAGACAAGATTCAGAATGGTTTAGAATGGAGAAGAAGATGTGTTTGTAGTTTGATGAACAAGTTTTGGATTGTAGTAAGTTGTAATTTAGTAGTTCTAACGACAGAGAATATTTTAGAGATATCATAAATTCATAATCACAAGGATTAGGAGTACTTTAAGTGAGTATTAAGCCCATAATAAGGATTCAAAAGCTTCAGTGCTCTAATCAGAAGAGAAACAAGTTTACGAGTAAAGAACATAACACACTCGTCTGGTCACAGTTTCAAGACTAACAAAAGAGCTCTTCTTCTTGTAAGGTTCAAAGATAGAGACAACAACAAAGGATCAAAGAGTCTGTCACATCCTACTTTGGAGCAAAACACACAAACAACAACAGTTTTCTTGCGTGATAAGTTACATCTAAACTCACTTCTTCCCGAAGTTCTTGGAGAATATCTTCTTGCAATATGGACTCATCTTAAGGTTCTCACATCTTCGTACTTTCTCCACCAAGCTCGCTCGAACAAAGCCCTGTTTGATCCAATAATCAGTTCTGATCCTTTACTAAGTCTGATCCTAAATATGATTACAAGAGTAATTAACCAACCTTGGTTTTGGATAGTGCTGCCTGGATAACGTAGTTGGCATATGGGTCTTGAACAAGATGTTCGAAGTTAGGAACAGAGATGAGTTCATGCACGATCCGAGATCTGCTCTCTGGATAAAACCTGATGCATTTCTCCACTACGTGGCTACCAAACTTCTGTGTAGCTAATCTCACGAAGTTCCCTCTTAAATCAAACATCACATCCCCTCCTCCGACCTTGTTTTCTATTATGTATTGCACCACATAGTTCCTGCCATCAAATTTCACACACAATATAAAGGCTCATGATGCATTGTTCCAGCCATCAAGTTTAAGACATGAAAAGAAGATCCAAAGCTGAAGATATGATCACATTATTCACAATAACAATGCAAGTTCTAGCTAGCAATGTCCAGCCCAATTACAATAAGTATTTTAGTAACAACTTATGTAAATTCAATAGTGAATTGGCTACAAATATAACAATAGCATTCAAGCTTTATTGAATAATGCTCACACTCAAGGCCTATAGTTTGTTCTTAAGACCAACCAGTCAACCATAATATGATAACAGTATTGATTTGAATTAAGTATTGTTACCCGAAAGGGTCTTGAGCAAGGCGAAGAGAGTTTCTGGCTATTTCACCAACGAGCTTCTCGTGTTGCTCCCCAACCGAGTCTGTGATGCAGCGTTGAAGGACACAGCATCCATGGCGATGAGTCGCAATCTCCATGCAGAACTTGGTAGCAGCCTCGAAAATGAACTGCACAAGAAAATATATAATGAATGCTTACTTATCATCAAGACTTGAGAACATTATCAAGAACATGAGTTAAGGAAGAGTTATACTAAACCTTGTTATCATTAGAGTCAAGGAATCTCAAGCAACTAAGTATCACATGGTTTCCATTTAATTCTCTAACCAGAGAGAGAAATCCCGGTTTAAGAGCTGCCTTAACCAAACTGATTTGCTCCTTTGTACTCACAGTCTCAATCAGCTTCTGCACCACCCGTGTCCTGCCCCATTATTTGAAAACATCAAACCAAAAAATAGTTTCAGCTTTTATCACAATATAGCAAAAACCAAAGATTTCCAAAAACATGATGCATCAGGTCAAGTCAAAAGGTCTAAAAAATTCAACCATGAAGTTGAAATGTTTCTTTTCAAAGGTCTAAGATTTGTCTAAATCAGTCAAAACAATTCATCTTTTTCTCTATCAACACAGCTGACAAGTTTCTCAAAGATCTTATTTTTCTTTCTTTCCTAAAATAGCTTAAGTTTCATCTTTCTCGATAAAGAAGAAAGATCTCATCCTTACTCCACTATTATGCAACAAAACATCACCTCTCTCCTTAATACTTGCGCTTATGAGATAAAGCTAAACGTCTATTCTCAAACATTAAATGATGTTGAAGTGATTAGTATATGGATTACTCAACAGTTAAAAGGATAATGAAGCTTACCCGTAAGTGTTGATGGAGACTTTGACAAGAAGTCCAGGTCTTGAAGTCAACCTAATGAGGATTTGAGTTCTTTGTTCTTCATCACAGACTTGAAGAAGCTTCTGAATAAAATAGTTACCAAACTGATCCATTGAAAGTTCAGTGACATGATTAATCACTTCCTCGTATATAATCACAACATCAAGAAACCTTCCTTGTTCGATTAGCTTCTGTAAGAATCGACAACCCAATTGATCCTTGGCCATTAAGTACACAGAGCCGTGGATATCAACCATGGAAGCAAAGGTAAGTGGCAAATCCAGTACATCTTTCTTGAGAAACGCATTGTTCTTCATAGATTTATCAGAACCTTCAAGCTCTCTAGAACCTCCCATGGCTGAAAATGGCGAAACAGTCCTGTTTCTACTGTACATCAATGGGTCCTCAAACACATCGTTTCCTTGAAAAGCTAGTCGAGATCTCTGTGGAATCAGAGAAACATCACGTCGGATCTCTTGATTGAAATGCTCAAACATGTAATCTCTGTTACGAACACACATCTTCTCTGTAAAACCTCTCAAATCGTTAAAGCTAGGGTTAGGGTTTTGACCTTCTTGTAAACCAAGCAAACGTAGTCTCTGAAAATCACCATCATCAACACCACGACGAGCTCTCAGATCCATGTCTCTCCTGTGTAAATCACCAAAACCACTCATAGAAGCTTCACCATGAAACCTCTCCACGAAACCCTCACGACCAAAGTCAAGCTTAGAACGTCCATGGAGGTCGTTGTTGTTTCTCGAACCGTGAAAAGGGTTCATCACCGGAGTAAAAAAACTACTCCTTTCATCGGAAAAACTCAGTTTACTAAACCTTTGAGACAAACCCAGATCATCATCCGCCATTGAAGCCACCGTGTTAAGGTTAAGAAACGGGTTCGTCATCGGAGTTGTAGGGTCACCGGAAAAGTGAAACCCATTTGAAACTGAAGATGTTAGAGGAAACCCACTAAAACCCAGATCAGGAAACGAACCACGTTGCCTCAAATCACTAGGAAAAAACCCAAAATCCATCTTTTTCTCTTCAAACATGGAAAAACCAAAAAAAGTTCGAACCTTTTATGAGATTTTTAATAGAAGAGACAAAACGAACAGAGGAAAAAGTGATAACAACAGAGAGAGAAGAATATGAAGAAGAAGAAAGTGATATTTGGGATTTTCCAGGAAAATTTGAGAGTTTGTTAAAGAGAAAGGTCAGGGTCAGGTCAGGGTCAGGGTCAGGGAATGGGGAGAGTGAAGCGTGGCTCGTTGTACGTACGGAGACAGAGTCTATTTGTCGTCATGTGACTACAGAGACGGCTGCTTCTTATTGTACCACTGTTCTTTACCTCCTGCAGAAACAAGAAACAAAAAAAGTTTGAGAGAGAGACAAATACGAAATTTTTATTATTTTTCAAAAAACAAATTTATTATATATAAATATATATATATATATATATATATTATGATGACAAAAAAAAAAATCTATTTTTCGTAAATTTTTTTATTTTTATTTAATTTTGGTCAGCTTAAGATTATTTTCAAAAAATATATATTCCTATATTCGTAAAAGTATGTTTATTATTTTTTATTTTGGTCAGCTTAAGAATTAAAAATCCAGACTTTTGTTGTTAAATGGTGATAAAAGTTACTATTTTATTTTTATTCAGTTTATATATATTAGTTTTATATTTACTTTAGGAAAAAAAAAGAATTGTAGTTAGGAGTGACTAGTTATTTTATAATTATTATAGTAAAAGATTTTTATGTTTTTATTTTTAGTTTTATTTTGGTAAGCTTAAGAATTAAAATCCATTATTTTGTTGTTAGAGGCAAACTAACAAAAAGTTACTATTTGTTGACTCAATATGAATTTTTGGTGTCGTTTTATTCAATTTATATTAGTTTTATAATTACTTTAGAAAAAGAAAAAAATGTAGTTAGTTAGACTTGGACAGATTATAAAAATGAGTAATTTTTAAATTAATTTTACTATATAAATAATTTAGTGTAGTTTGCTTGCTGACCAAGCAAACAAGTGTCACCATGGATTAGTTTCTGAGGCTAATAACATGGTTTGTTCTCCAATGGTTGAATCACTTATTTTGACATTCGTTGGTTATTTATAAACAAGTAAAATTACTATACAAATAACAAACTTAATCTTTCCAAAGATCCAAAAGTTTGATTGGAGAAATTATAATTTAGTAAGAAAGTAGATTTTTGTTTTTTTAAAGTATCTTCATGAACTTTTACTGTAATTTACAAATTAATTTTACAATATAAACTATTTAGAAAAAATAATTAGTATATATATATGTACACTTATATATGTCTAAGATAAGTCATCATAATTTTGTATTATATATAACGTTAACTAAATCAGGTTTTTGTATATGGAAAAGCAAAAAAAAAAAAGTGAAAGATTCAGAAATCATAAATTAATATTTTTGTTATGAGAATTGCGATTATTTCAATCAAATTATATTTTTGTCTCATTCTACTTGCAACATTCTAGTAAGTGTAACTCTTTTATTTCCCTCATATGTCAAAAGAACTAAACATTTCTCTGAATTCCAACAATAAAATAATAAAAATGGAATATGATTATTCCATATTGCACTTTCATAGAAGATACAGTTTATAGGACCAATTAAACTTATTTTTTTTTTGTCATCATTACAAATTATATGTCTCTCTTTGAGAGGGACCGGAGTCGAACCCGGATCTGGTGAGAAGGCAACAGAGGTGAGAACCACTAGCCCACTTGTCCTTCTCCAATCAAACTTATCATTATATCTATAATTTTTATATTTTACACAACCAAGCAACCATACATACTTAAGTTTAGCGAATTCAAAACTCTTAAATCTAAAAACTAAAATGATAACAAGAATACAAAGCATATATTAATAAATATGACAATAAACTATATTTGAAAAAATAGATAACTGATTATTATGAATGATGTTATACACTTTCATCCCTTTAATTAGGGTGTGATGCATATACGATAGAATTTGCTAGATCATCTTGTCATTAGATTACTAGTACGTCGTATCACGATTGGTTACTTTCTGAGAAATGATTTTCGGAACTGTGTGATTAAGGAAAAAAATACAAGAAAGCATCATGTGGTGACTTATTGATGTTTTTAAAACTTCTCACACATAGAAAACCGGTTTTTGGACGAATCTAATGAGAGTACGTGTAGCCTATAGACCTAGAGTGAACATGGGTTCACTAAGAAAAATGGCGGTCAGATGTTACAAACTTGATGGTTTGGTGTTATTCTACTTGGATATGATTACTCTTACTTTCCAATGACACCACATACACTTGATTTGGTGTAATGAAGAACGTGAATAGATGCCAAACTTCTTATGCGTCGAACTGTTTTGAAACTTATTGTTTTGCAATTCGTGGATCTTTCCCTAAAATCTTGTAAAGACCAATGAATAGTGGAAAGGATCATTGAAATACTAATACTTGAAATCCCTATCAAACACCAATAGAGAATATAGCGAAAATGGGCGAAAATATGATGTTATCATTATGGTTGCTGTAGTCTACTGCCTTTTTGAGATCATTATCCCAAAATACATTAGTCTCAACTTATTCGCATAGCAAACTCTTTTCTAGAGATTTTACTTACAAAATTAAAGTTTGGTGAAGACTGTTTTGTATATTTTGTTGTCATTGCTAAAACAAACAAAACAATAAGAATATATAGAACCATAAAAATCAAAATTAAGAAAGTAATATCAAGGGTAAAGGAAATGAGACATTTTTTTTAGTGTTTATACATTTATTTTATGGATCAAGGAGAGATCCAAAGAGGAAGATCAGAAAAAGATACCTACGGCACAACCAGGCCAACCCTTTACACATACCCAAGTCACATTGGTATTGGGCCCCCAAAATATTTATTTTTTAGTTTAAAATTTAGGCCCCATAAAAAAACAATTTGCAAAAACAGGCCCCATTTTTGTGAATGTTTAAGATTTTTTCTTAAGTTTTAACTTCTTTTTATTGGGTATTGCAAAAACAAGCCCCTTTTTTATGAAATTTAGATTTACTCTTCATATTTCTTAGTTTTATCTATAAAAGCCCTAAAAAAATTGTTTTTTTCTTGGCCCCAAATTTGTCAGGGCCGACTCTGGGCACAACGCATAACTTTGGTGAAGAATAAGAAAAAGAAATGAGGTTTTGCCTTTAATACATTATACTATGTCCATGGATGTTTGCAAGTTTTTAGATTATAGTTTTTATTTGTCTATGGTTTTTAGCTTTTGAGTTAAAGTTATTTGAAAAAGAAATACAAAAATCAATTCAAATTGAAAAGTGCAAAATTAATAAAACATAGATTTCGATTTTTTTTTTCAAACTGATAAAAACAATCAAAATCTAGATTCCGTATTTTCTTAGAAAAATAATTTTCTCATAATCTTGATTGGCTATAGAGTATATTTTTGGATTTATAAGCATTCAAGGTCAGTTGGATTTTTTTTTGTTTAGGCTAGTTTCCTATTATTATTATTTTTGTTTGTTGTATTTGCAAATTTCCTATCAAAAAATATCAACAATTTAAAGTTTAAAAATATTAGTGTTAAAAGTTATTGGAGTTGTTATTGTAAGAAGTAAAGAAATCTTAGATGTCAAAGATATAATGCACAACTTTTTGAGATCTTCAAAAAGAGAATATTAATAGAGTTTATGTTACTTAGATATTATAATTAAATTAGCTTGGGAAGAATATTTTTTAGAAAAGCCAAAAATAAGGTTATTATAAATATAATTTAGCATAATTAGTATATATGATTAAACCTATCAAGTTTTAATTTAGAAAATTAATAATATGCTAACTTAGAGAAAACATATTTATAACATTTACTAAATTCAGAGAGTTGTTTTTAATAATATTAATCTGTTTAAATGAACATAAAATCCAAGCAACTTTATTTCGGCTGAGAACTACAGTATATATAACAATGGGTTGAACTCTTCAAACTCCACAAATATTTCATTTTTCAAAAAGAAATTTAGTTACACTTCTAAGACACTTTAAAGCTCGGTAAAATGGATCCGAATATGATGATAGAAAAAAAACTAACAGACAGCGACGTTTCTAATAAAGCTCGTTTGCATTTGCCTAAAAAAAAGGTTGAGAACATAATAAGAAGCACGGGAGTTCCAATTCCTCGAAATGGTATCCAAGTAGAAATTCTGGACAATAACAACTCGTATTGGGTAAATTTCGGAGTAGGTGGATCAGGTTATTTTATCGGAAGTGGGTGGGTCAATCTAAGAGATGCAAAACATCTTAGAACAGGAGATATCATCAAATTATATTGGGAAAATACCAAATTTATTTTTTCTATGTAAAAAACCTATATTTCTTTTGTTGTTAATTTTATCTTGTATACATTAATCATTTTCTTAATAAACCTAATTTAATTAATGTATTTTGGTTAATAATATGTGTTTAGTTTCAATCCGTGATATTAATTAAGAATATCGTAATAACTGTTTATATTTTGGTCGAAAGATACTTAATATATATAACAATAATTAGTCAAAAAAGGGAAAAAGCCTAAAATTTCGCCATCTATTTTTTTTGACGTTTAATACCTGTACTTTTTCAATTGAAATAAAAATACTTTGTTTGTGTATTTTTTTTTTAAAAGTCTTCGTTTATTTAAATTTTGGTATATTCATACACACGATCTCAAACCAAAAAATATATTTCAATTTTACCCTTACTATATAAACTAATTATTAGTAGAGAAATTCTTATTAATAACCTTTTTATGATACTATTTTGCAAAACTACCCTCTTTTTTGTCATTTTCATTTTTGTCCTCTCTTAAATTTTAATGATCATTTTACCTCTAATTATAAAAAATAGGGTGAGTTAAAAATTGGTACCTAAATAAATTGAAAACAAAAAGTAAGGATGTAATAATTCAAAAATTAGTTCCCTCACCTCCAGCCACCTAAAATGACATTTAAACCAAAACAAACAAAAAAGAGTACGATATGTAACACTGTTCATAGCGTTCGATAACTTTAATTTTAAACATGTTAAATAATCTGTTATCGTGATAATTTACATATTATCAATTAAATTAATACTAACACTATTCATTTGTGATTGATAGAATTCGATAACATTGTTCATCCGTGATTAATAGCATTTGATAACTTATTTTTAAACATGTTAAATAATCCGTTATCGCGATAATTTACATATTATCTGGTAAATTAATAATAATACTATTCATACGTGATTGATAGAATTCGATAACATTGTTATTAACAGTATAAATGATATTGTATTGCGATAAAATTATAAGTTATAAGGTAAGTTTGAAATTATTTTGATAAATCATTTATTATCGTGTTGAATCATTGTATCATATTGTAGAAGTTAAAAATAAAAAGTTGGGTAAAAGAAAGTCTATAATTTATTGATAATTAGTACGTTATCTCGTTAAGCTATTTGTTACCATATATAGGGGTATTTTCGTCCAACTAAAATAACTATGAGAGAAAATTAATTTTTAAAATAGTGAGGTCAAATACTGAATTTTTCTTTTATTTGAGTGTACAGAGTAGTATTTTCCTAAAAAATACTCCTTTATTTGAACATAATATTCCTTCCAAAATTTAAATCAAACGTTTTATTTAAATCAATAATTTTTTTTTATTGAAAAAAATATCCTTCCTCTTTTATAACACATGCCCCGTAAGGTAAATGTTCGAATCAAAAACTTAGCTCCAACGTCTCACTCCATTATTTTACTTTACTTCCAAATCAATAAATTTTAAAAATTAAGAAAAAAAAAAAAAAAAAAAACTAAAAAAGTTCACTACAGTCCATTTTCTTCTTTAACTCTTAACAAAAACTCAAAAAAGCTTCAAAATCCAATTTCGAATCAGATCTTGCTTTCTCCTCATCCATGAAGGAATCAGATCTAACCACCGAACCAATAGCTCAGAATCTCATCAAGCTAATCAGCAATGTATGTTTCTCAGTCTTCGTCTTCACAGTTCTCATCTTCACAGTAATCGCCGTCACTTACCAACCACCAGATCCATGGCTCGAATCTGCTCCAGCTCTAACCAAACTCCTAACTCAAACGGAGAACGCAACTTTCAAAATCGACGGTTCTATGCTCAAAACCGGCGAAGACATCGCTTCCTCTCCGATCTCAGCTCCGGCGAACTCTACGGAGTCCGTTACGGAGGCGACGATTGAGAAATCTGAGGAGAAGATTGGGAATATGACGGTGAAGGGATCTAACTCTGATTGTGATGAATTGAAGATTGTGAATTGTTCTGATCCTAGGGTTTTGGTTGCTGTTGAGAGGTTTAATTTGAAGGTTTTTAAATCTATTGTGTTTTTAGAGTATGAAACTCCGGTGAACGGATCGAGTCCGGACGAATGCGATGTTTCTTGGAGGTTTAGGAATAAGAAAGAGAAGTCTTGGAGGAGATATAGAGATTTCAGGAGGTTTAAGTTTGGATTTGGTGAGAATTGTACTTATAAAGTGTTTCATACTAGTGGTTGGCATTCTGGTGTTAATGCTCGTAGGCCGAAGATTAGACCGAGTTCGGGTAGAGGAGGAGGTAGAGGCGGTGGTGGTGGTGCGAAGGTTGGTCGTGGTGATCCCGAGATTAATGATACGATCCCTACTCTTGGTTCGCAGACGAATTTCAGGAGAGGGAAGTATTTGTATTATTCGCGGGGTGGTGATTATTGTAAAGGTATGAATCAGTATATGTGGAGTTTCTTGTGTGGGTTAGGGGAAGCTATGTACTTGAACAGGACGTTTGTGATGGATTTGAGTTTGTGTTTGTCTGCGAGTTATAGCTCTAAAGGGAAGGATGAAGAAGGGAAGGATTTTCGGTATTATTTTGATTTCGAGCATCTTAAGGAGACGGCATCTATTGTTGAAGAGGGTGAGTTTTTAAGAGATTGGAAGAAGTGGAATCGGTCGCATAAACGTAAAGTTCCTGTTAGGAAAGTTAAGACGCATAAAGTGTCGCCTTTGGAGCTTAGTAAAGATAAGAGTACGGTTATATGGAGGCAGTTTGATTCTCCTGAACCTGAAAACTATTGGTATAGAGTTTGTGAAGGGCAAGCGTCAAAGTATGTAGAGAGGCCGTGGCACGCACTGTGGAAATCAAAGAGATTGATGAACATTGTCTCTGAGATCAGTGGGAAAATGGACTGGGACTTTGACGCGGTTCATGTGGTTAGAGGCGAGAAAGCGCAGAACAAGAAGCTGTGGCCACATTTGGATGCAGATACATGGCCTGAGGCAATTTTAGCCAAACTTAAAGGAATAGTTCAGGTCTGGAGAAATCTATACATCGCCACCAATGAACCGTTCTATAATTACTTCGACAAATTGAGGTCTCAGTACAAAGTTCACTTGCTTGATGACTATAGCTACTTGTGGGGAAACAAGAGTGAGTGGTACAATGAGACAAGTCTCTTGAACAATGGGAAACCAGTAGAGTTTGATGGGTACATGAGAGTAGCTGTTGATACAGAGGTGTTTTATAGAGGGAAGACTCGTGTTGAGACGTTCTATAACCTTACCACGGATTGCAAAGACGGGATCAATACATGCTAAATTGATCAGCCAGGTTGTTGTATTATGTCTCTTTTATTACTTACCAGCCATTTCTTTTATATATTTGTTTTTTGTATTCAATTCAATTCAGTTTGTGTTGTTACCTTGTTGGTTCACTAGCACTTAACATTACTGGTGAGAAGAGTGTACGTAAAGTTCACATTTTGTTATACAATTCCTTAATTCTGTAAGAAGACATCACCAGTGACCGGTTCTTGCGATTTTTCGTATAGTTTCTTAAATCGCGATATTGTTCTTAATGGTAAACTCAATTCTACAATGCTATCCTGATTCTTTGGAATATAACTCTGTTTATGGTTTAGCTTTTAAATAGCTCACTCTTATCAATCAAAACATTATTCATTATTCCACCATTCCTCAGAGAAGTAACATAACACAACCTTGAATTGTTCATCTATGTATCATGAACGAGATCAAAAATAAAAAAGTATCAAGAGTGTACATGGGCTTGAGGAGGGTTTCCACATTGCGACTGCCGATACTTTAATATCGTCCAGTCGAACACATAATCAAATTGAAAACCTGAGATAAACAAATACTCATTTAGTGTCATGTGAACTTAATAGCCTAAGGAGAAGAGAACATAGTAAAATGAATGACCTTCACGAGTAAACAGGTTGCCGAATAGTCTCTTCAAATATGCATAGTCTGGCTTATCATCGAACCTTAGTGCGCGACAGTAATGGAGGTAGGATGCAAACTCCGTTGGATGACCATTGCATAAGGTCTTTAGAGACAGTGATGCAAAGTTATAGTTATACATAGACCCATATAAGTTTCTAAATATGCACCATGTAAAGAACTTACTTCGATCGAAGTTAAAGCCTTCTTTTCGGTAATCATGTCAGATTTCTGTTTCTTGTTTGCAGCTTTCAGTCCCTGCCATGGTAGACTACAAGAAAGAAGGATAAGAGATGGTTTGGTTGATATAAAGAAAGGTTACTCAATGACACTCACCTTCCTTTGAGGAAGTACATGAGGATATAACCAAGTGATTCTAAATCATCCCTCCGGCTTTGCTCTACCAAATGTAGAATGTTACAAATGAACAAAAAGATTGAAATAAGAAAAATTAGTCCGCGAAAAAAGAGAATAAGATCTGCGATTAGCGATAGAGTAATACCGATCCCTCGGTGAGTGTTCAAGCTGGCAAAAGATGGAGTCCCAACTAGACTTTTATTCTCCCTAAATACATACATAAAATGCTTACAAATAAAAAACCAATTAGCTGAAAATGCTGAATCTGTGACATACCAAAACCTTGATACCTGTATGGGACATGTCTGTAGCTTGAGCTATCTCTATATTTCTTAGCCAAACCAAAGTCTATGATATAAACCTACACAAAGAGAACCAAAAACTAAGATCCTAAGTAAGATTCCAACATCAAAGTGAAATTTATGTAGAATAGATTACCTGAGTAGCCAGCATTCCCAAACCGATAAGAAAATTACCCGGTTTCAAATCGCGATGAATAAACGACTTAGAATGGATGAACTCGAGACGATGAATCTGATATAAACAAGTGACAATGAATCAAATCCCAAAATACAACCATTAACAACAGTGACAAAACATCAAACCCAAACCATTATCATTACCATTTGATCAGCTAACATAAGAACTGTCTTCAAACTAAACTTCCTCTTACAATAACTAAACAAATCCTCAAGGCTACCACCAAGCAAATCCATCACTAACACATTGTAATCACCCTCAACACCATACCATTTCATGTTTGCAATCCCATCTGCAATATACACAAGAAGAATGAACAACCGCGCACGCGAACAAAGTACATAAACGAATAAGAAACATATTTTCATACTTCCACCCTGAAGAACTCTATATACCCTTGACTCATAATTCAATTGTGGATGGTCAGTCTTCACACTTTCCTACACAAAGACACAATAAAAACTTAAAATCAACCTTTTAGTTTCGATTCAATACTTCAACAAAAGGTTTAGAAACACTCACAAACTTGATAGCAACATCTTCATTAGTCTGAACATCAGTTCCTGTAATTAAACCTAGTAATCAAAACCACTTGGAACACAAAGTGATATAATCAAGCAAATGTTTTGATAATGTTATAGAGATTAGTATTAATTACGAACCTAGGTAAATCTCTCCGAACGAGCCACTACCAATTTTTCGACCAAGCCGGAACTTGTTACCAATACGAAGTTCCATCGAACAAACTCAAAACATCAATTTGTAAAAACCCTAACTTGTGTTCTACTCTGTCGAGTCCATTCTCACACGAAGAGCTGCGCGTGTGTTGGCTTGTTGTGGTATAGGTTAACTATTTTCATTCGAAGACATTTTTATTTTTTCTTTTATATATTTATAAATTAGAGAATTGTCATAATTAAGTATCACTAAAATAGGTATTGTAAGTTTTATTTTTCAAAAATATCATTAAATTCTATATTTTTTACATTAAAAACTAATTTTTAAATCCTAAATACTAAAACATACTACTAAAAACTATATTCTAAATATAGTCCACCCAAACATTAAAATTTTTTTATATTTTCAAAAATCAATTTTTTATTTTTATGATTTTTTTTTTTTTTAAATTTTTTGTGATATTTTTAGAAAAATACAAATTGTGGTATTTTTGGATTTCTTTTTTTTAATTATGGTATTGTTGTAAACTAATTTTCAACATCATTATTAAAAAAAATGATCGCAATATCTTGTGTATGTAATCTTTGAATTTTCATTCTATCTTTGAATTAAGTGTCTGTAATCTAACATTGTAATCTCAAGCCTTGTATGAATTATTCAGACGACAAAAAAAAAGAAAAAATCTTGTGTATGTTTTATATCCAGAGTTTTTTTTCTATGGCCCTTTACTTGCTAGCTTTTGCATGTTTCACCATGATTTGATATTTTATTAGTATTGCTTATATCAGATTTGTTAATTTGACAAAACAAATTTGGTGTTATCATATTTACTTTTAGAAGTGAACACTTCCATCATTAGAATCATATAAATAACTAGTTTAGTACCCGTCCGATGGACGGGTTATCTATATTTAAAATTAAATTAAAATTAAAATATATTATAACTTATAAAAAAATAATTTCCAAATTTTATTTATATATAACTTATATATATATATATATATATATATATACACGTTTATTTGATACTTCAAACCAAATAAATCTCTTACCAAATGAAATTAATATCTCTTATTTTTTTAAAAAAAAATTTGGAAATTATATATATATATATCTTAAAATTCCTTATTAAACGTTAATTATAAAAATCTAGTAATGTCAAATTGACAATCACCAAAACATTTGGGAGCTACAGTAAAACCTTTATAAATTAATAATATTGGGACCATGAAAATCAATTAATTTATAGAGATTTTAATTTATCGATAAATTAATTATTATTAATTTACAGAGAGATTTTTCTAATTTGGAAAGTTTTTCCAAAAAAATTGAAATATAAAATCTTACAAAAACTAAAATGTCTATATATACATATATTTTGAAATTTTTACCTAATTATTAATTTATAATATTGATGGGACTATATATTTACAAAGGATTTTCAAAAAAATTATTATCTTATTATTTTATCAAAATGTAATTAAAATTACACTGGTCCGAGTTGGGACCAGAGAAATTTATTAATTCATAGAGAATATTAATTTATCGAATATTAATTTATGGGGGAATTTCAAAAATACCCCTTTTCGTATACCTATTTTAAAAAATACCCCTTTTTCAAACTTTATCAAAAAACCCACTAAAAATGTTGAAATTTATCCAAATATGTGTGTAAGCTTAAAAATATATACACAAATTACCTTTATATGTGTATAAAACTTTATATACCTTTCATAAATAGCGTAAAAATAAATTATAAAAACCTTATAAAAACCTTATAAAAACCGTATAAACCCTTTTAAAAACCTTTTAAAAACCTTATAAAACTTATAAAAACGATTTAAAACTATTTAAAACATTTTAAAATATATGTATTGAATCTCCCAGTAGTAGTTATTATATAGAAGTACCTTATAAACTATATAAAACTTTATAATTTTTTATAATTAAAAAGGGGTATTTTTGAAAATGGATAGATAAAGGGGATATTTTTAAAAAGGGTACACCAAAAGGGGTATTTCTCAAAAATTCTCTTAATTTATAGAGGTTATATTTGGGAGCTATTTACAATTACTCATAATATTGCTAAAATATTTTTAAAAATCTTAATTTAGCAATTATCCTCTAAAACATGATTATACCATTTTGTAAAAAAAATTATTTCTTAACTTTAAAATTGTAAAAACTCATTCTCAGACTATGAAAATTAATTAATTATTATTTAATAAGATGGTAAAGTTCTTTCAAATTAACATCAATCTAAAATATGATGTTAAATACAAATATAGTCATTTGTAAATAAATTCATATAAACAACGCAAATAAACATAAAGATTCTAAAATAAATTATAGCATCTTTGAGGAAAGCATTAAAAAATCTTTCAAATACGAATTATAAAAAACTACATATTTTCTTTAAAATTATTTTATAATTACTATATTACGATTTATATTGAACTTTGTTATCATTAATTTAAGCTAAAAATATTATTTCTGAAATTTTTTTATTCACCCTTATGTTTTAGACAATGAAATTGCTCAATGGCATAATACATTCATACATAAATTAAAAATTAAACAAATATAACATATTATAAAATAAAATCATGAATAAAATTATGTGTTTAGTTAAACTCAAAATCTAATTTATTTGTAAACTGTAAATCCTAATTCTCCTTTATGAACCCAAACAGATAAATAACCTTGTTTAATTGTAAAACCTAAATCTCACTACTCTTTAATAAACCCAAACCGATAAATAATCTCGTTTAATTATAAATTCTAAACTATAATGCAGATTTATAAACTCAACATATAACCCTTATAATTGTAAAACCTACAACTGGCAAAACCAAAAATTAGGTTAATAGTTGAAAGAGAATTTTTGAGAAATACCCCTTTTCGTGTACCCCTTTTTAAAAATACAC